CGCTCGCCTATCGCCACAGGACTTTGAGATTTATCGGAGTTAGGGAAAGTCAAGATGTCAAGACTTGCACGTGGATTGAATTTAAGTGAGGAAGAGGTGCGCGTAGTCAGCCTCACTCTCTCTTCCCAGATTCCATCTTATTCCAATGGCAGGACAAAAGTCAAGACAATTGGAGATGGGCTGGGTGCAGTGGTTGACCAGGGCACCTTTCATGTCTTGCCGTGCTCTCAGCATACCACGTCGCTTGCAGAAACTGCCTTCATGACCGTTGGTTCTATTTTAATAGATCTCATCCGCTCACTCCACCGGAGTCTGTCTTCACATGCTCGGTGTAGACAAGTCCTTTGCTCACCGAGTGTCGAAGACACAATGGCTACTCTCAACCTGGTTTGGCCAGCCTGTCGAAGCTGTTGCCCGGGGTGTGGCTGCTGCGCACGTTACAGCTACTACGAGCCACAGGTGAGAGCTGAATGTCAGGTGGGGACCAAAGGTGTACTAGCTGCCCTAAAAAAGCATGACATGCCCTATACCAGATGTACTACCCCATACACCCCTATTTATATGGTTAGCCTCCAGGCAGCAGCCAATAGGTTTAAAGTAATAGTTTCCTGCCCAAAACCTAATTACCAGCCTGGAGACAGCAAGTCTGGCTTAAATAACAGCAGCCATTACATAACAACAGAATCTAGGTCAGACATTCAAACAAGTGATTCAAAACAGTTGTGACCAATACATTACATAAGCCATCCCAACATTTTTATATTTCTCATGTCAAAAAACAAAACACAAAGGAAAAAAGAAAGAAAAAAATACTATGTTACTTGAGGGATTCATCCCTTTTAAACTAATCTTCATTTATATCCAAAATCTTTCTATTTCTTTAACCATATTCAAACAGATGTTTAATTGTTAAATATTCCCTTTGATAAATCCCATCATCTAATTTCTTAATTTTCACTTTAGCCTTTTTTTTTTTTTTTTGCCAAACATCTTTCCTGATCAATATGCTTCGCTGAGATAAAGAATCTTTCCATAATCTTAAAAATGTTGTTGCAGGTACAAAAGGCAAAAGATGTAAGATGTTTTTATAGGAAGGTTTCATCCCTTTGTATTCATTGAAAATCTTTTCCTTTCTCTCTTGATTTTATTTATCATTTTTTGCCTCTCAAGTTCTTGTACTTCTGGCAGAATCCATTTTGTCAAATCTTTTTTCTTGTCCTCAAACTTATTTTGTAATCTTAGAGTATTTCCTGTAAATTTTTTTCATCTGGGTTAAGTCATACTTTCTTCTATTGTTAAGTTCCTTCTTGAAATCTCTCTCCTCTGTCTTGTATTCAGTTGTCTGTTCTTTATGCTCACTCTCTTTTTATTTTCTGAGAATTTTTGTGTTGTAAGATTAAATTGGAAATGTGTTCATTTATATTTTCAAAGCTATTTTTAATTTCCTCGTGGTTTGAGATCATTGTTGTTTGGATTAGTTGCAACATAGCATAGATCTCCTTCTGGAAAGTATTTGTTTTTTCTTGGTATATTCTTTCTGCAGATCTCTGGTTTTCCATGATAGCTAAATATCAGGATTTTCCTTTCTTTGCAGACAGCTTTAGAGTCACAGTTAAGTTGGTATTTGTAATCCAGAAAGGTCAATTCTTTTTTAGAGTTCATAATTCTCACTTTGTAGATAGCCCAAAATGTTTTCTTTCTTTTTTGTCACAGCTGTTCTCTGTTATTAAGACATTAAAGGTCACCAAAACCAAGTTATCTTTTCCTGGGTTTTGCCAGTCCCTGTAATAAAGCAACTGCTGTTGTATATTTTCATCCACCACTAGATGTCAGCACCAGTCAGTAATAGATAATTGTTTACTTTTATTTTCATGATTTAAAAGGAAAATCTTAACAGATTCCACCGATTTTAAACTTATCGAAATTATGTCTTATATTCATTTCATTTCAGTATATTTATGTCCCCCCCTGAAAAGTTTAATTTGCTGCCTCCATCTGTAGGAGTGTGGGGCAAAGATCTATCCCCTCCTTCTCACTTTCAGAGACTTTTTGCTTCTTGTGGTTTTTCTTTTTTTTTCCTCCAGGAAATCAATTTTCAACTAGAAGAGAGAAAATCACTGTTCTTACTCAGTTCCAAAGGGCAACTTCAGGCCCATTTAAGGTCCCCTAGCAGGCAGAAATCAGGCATAGGGTGTGGAGCCCCACAATCCCTCGGCTGCTGAATTATTGTGCAAAAGCGGAAGCCACTACTATTCAGTCTTTATTCTGTATATATCTGAAAGCTACGTTTTACAATTTTAAATAATTTTAAAAATAAGGATACTTTTAATAAACAATTAGTAAAAATTAATACCAATAAAGTTACTACTAGTGTTCATATTTCTATTTGCTCCATGCTTGTTGACTATACAATTATAAATGTTCAATCAGAATAGAGCTGGAAGGGACCTTTGATAGCCAAATCTGGCCCTAGGGTCTGCCTCGGTTTACCTTCCCATTAAGCAGGTTGGCTCAGGAATTCTGGGAGTTGAAGTCCACGAGTCATAAAAGAGCCAAGGTTGCCTACTCCTGGTCTAGTCTCTTCTTTAAAAAAACAAGTGAAGAAGCACCCACAACTTCTGAAGGCAAGTTGTTGCACTGGTTAATTGTCCTCACTGTTAGAAAGTTTCTCTTTAATTCCAGGTTGCTTCTCTCCTTGATCAGTTTCCATCCACTGTTTCTTGCCCTGCCTTTTGGTGCTTTGGAAAATAAACTGCCCCCCTCCTTTTTATGGCAGCCTCTCAAATACTGGAATATTGCTATCATGTCCCTCCTAGTTCTTCTTTTCTCTAGACTAGCCAAATCCTGAAACCATGCTTCATATGTTTTAGTCTCCAGGCCTTTAATCATCTTAGTTGCTCTTCTTTGTACTTTTTCCAAAGTCTCAACATCTTTTTTGTAATGTGGTAATGAAAACTGGATGCAGTATTCCAGGTGTGGCCTTACTAAGGCTTTATAAAGTGTACTAATACTTTACGTGATTTTGATTCTATGCTTCTGTTTATACAACCAAGGATTGTATTAGCTTTTTTGACTGTTGCCACACCCTGCTGACTCATGCCAACCATGTGCTGCTACTGCCCAAAAAGCCAACACAGTGCTAGGCTGCATTAACAGAGAGACAGAATCAAGATCACATGAAGTATTAATACCACTTTACAATGCTTTGGTAAGGCCACACTTGGAATACTGCATCCATTTTTGGTCCCCACGATGTAAAAAAGATGTTGAGACTCTAGAAAGAATACAGAGAAGAGCAACAAAGAAGATTAGGGGACTGGAGGCTAAAACATATAAGGAACGGTTGCTGGAATTGGGTATATCTAGTTTAATGAAGAGAAGGACGAGGGGGGACATGATAGCAGTGTTCCAATATCTCAGGGGCTGCCACAAAGAAGATGGAGTCAAGCTATTTTCCAAAGCACCTGAAAACAGGACAAGAAACAATGGATGGAAACTAACCAAAGAGAGAAGCTACCTAGAACTAAGGAGAAACTTCCTGACCGTTAGAAACTTCCTGACCAACCTGCCTCCAGAAGCTGTGAATGCTCCAACACTGGAAGTTTTTAAGAAGAGATTGGACAGCCATTTGTCTGAAATGGTATAGGGTTTCCTGACTGAGCAGGGGGTAGGACTAGATAATCTCCAAGGTCCCTTCCAACTTTATTATTATTGTTATTGTTATATGTTTAAGTGATCGCCCACTAGGACTCCCAGGTCCCTTTCAGAGTTGCTGTTTTTGAGCCAGGTTTCACCTAATCTGTACTGGTATCTTTGGATTTTCCTGCCTAAGTATAAAACCTTGCTTTTTAAATTTCATGTTGTTGGATTGGGCCCATTGTTCAAGTCTGTCAAGATCTTTTGGACCCTAAGTTTATCTCCTGGGAGTTGGCTATTCCTGCTAGCTTAGAGTCATCTGCAAATTTGATGAGTTCCCCTTCTATTCCCTTTTAGTGACTAAAATCCACATGTGAATATGTATCTTAACATATGGAACTATTTTAGAAAAAGCAGAAATGTGTCCTATCTTTGAGGTATAATTTTTAAAAAAGAACCTATTATATTTTGGGTCATACAAAATCACTTAGTACCACACTTTATTTAGGTAAAATCATAGCATTTTAATAATTCAGGCTTAATCATCCAGAATAAGACTATACTCAATATGTGCCTTTAGGTTCTAAAGGCACGAACCATTGATACTACTTTTTGTTATATAAAGACATTTCAATTTATTTCCATTCAAAATCTATATAGTATGAGATAATGGCTAGGTGAAGGAAGGGAGAAAAAATTAGGGCAACTAAATAGGCTGATATTGCAGAAGGCATTTTATAAAAGTTATTCTATATTTAGAATGTATTTAATCTGTGATATTAAGATGTTTTCAGATTATCTGTAAGAAAGAAGACAGTCTATAAACCAGTGGTTCTCAACCTGTGGGTCAGGACCCCATTTGGGGTCGAACGACCATTTCACGGGGGTTGCCAAACAATGCAGTCCGCCATTTTTCCCCCTTTTCCTTAGCCGTGCTACTCCCTTTTATTCTATTGGCTTTTGAAAGCCAATAGAATAGACTCTCTTGAATAGAGTCTAATTCTATTGGCTTTCAAAAGCCCATAGGAATTGTCCAGGCTGTCTCTGCTCTGCTGAGCCCGCCAAAAGTCCCATTCTGCAAACGGTGCTGCACCAGTTGAGTAGTCCTCGACTTACGACCGGTTGAGTAGTCCTCGACTTACGACCGGTTGGGGGGTCGCGGCATTAAAAAGGTTGAGAACCACTGCTATAAACTTTCCATCCTGACAAGCCTTGTGTGAAAAAAAATTGTATTTCCTTACTTAGAATCTTCATGGGAACATTTCTCCAAATAGATGATAATATAGATTTAAATTTTATTTATAATCATTCAGACAAAGAACAAAAATAAAAAGAACGCATAATTCTCGTATTTTGTCTTATAGCCTTTGCCAAAAGAGTATCACTTTGGTAATAATTTTGGATATGTGGTAGCTTTCAAGTCCTTTGATCAAAATGATTGGAAAAGTGTTACAGTTCCTCAACCTGATATTGGTCGGTATGTTCATAAGGATGAATCAATGCTTCCTTCATCAAAGTATCAAGTAAAGGTGAAAGCATTTAATAACAAAGGGGAAGGACCTTTCAGTCTTACTGCTATTATCTATTCAGCAGAAGATGGTGAGTAAAAATTCTGTGATGAAAGTTAAGAGTAGGTTTTGATAAGGTTGCTGCAATGTACTAAAAAGAATTCTCATGTAAACAGTCTAATTCTTAAGATCTATTTCCAAGATTAATTAAGTTGATCCAACCAGCCTCTTTAGCACATTGGCTGCCCACATATCATCTGAGTCACTTCTGACCTGTGATATCAGAGCAATCCATTTTTCTTGGATGAATTGAAAGTAGAATGAGCCCAAGGTTATCTGCCATGAGAAAAAGCAAACTTCAGGAAAGCGCATGTCATGATAATTCACATTTTAAGTACGGCGTTTCCCGAAAATAAGACCCAACCAGAAAATAAGCTGTAGCCTGATTTTTTTTAGCGTGCTCCTAGTATAAACCCTACCCCAAAATAAGCCCTGGGAGTGGGGGTGGCCAGCACAGGAGATGGTGAGTGTATGTGGGCCGACGGTGTCCGGCAGCAGCCACAGTCCATGTAGCACAGGTAAGTCCGAGTGCTGCGACCACCAGGCTGGCCCTCCAAGCAGAGGTGCGGAGGGGAGGCAGGCGATCCCGACATGTGGAAGCACTGGCAGCAGGTGGAGGCCAAGGCATGAGAAGAGGCAGGTGATCTGGAAACACTGTGCAGCCACCTGACTCATGGGAGGCTTGTGGAAGGCTCACATTGCAGCACTGGCAACAGGTGGAGGCCGAGGCATGGGGGGAGGCAGGTGATGCGCCGCCCACTCTGTCCCACCATCTCTGGGCTTGCCTGCCCATGTCTTGGTCTCCACTTGCTGCTTCGTGAGCCTCCTACGAGCCAGGTGGCCATGTGGCACATCCAGATTGCCTGCCTCCACCCCATGCATCTGCCTCTGCCTGCTGCCGGTGCTGCCACGCAAGCCTCCTGCAAGCCAGGCAGCCGCACACTGCATCCGGATTGCCTGCCTCCCCCCGTGCCTCTGCCTGCTGCTGGTGCTGCCACATGAGCCTCCCATGAGTCCTCCCATAAGGCAGGCAGCCATGCAGTGCATCCGGATTGCCTGACTCCCACCTGCACATCTGCCTCCGCCTGCTGCTTGGACAGGTAATCAATTCACTTGCATTGTGTGGGCTGCACAGCCACAGAGTGCATGGCCAAGGACTGGCAGGCTGTGGCTGCTGCCGGACACCATTGGCTCCTGCGTGCTCGCTGCCTCTTGTGCACATACCAAAGGGTGGGTGCCTGGCCGGGCTGATCACCCTGATACTGTGTTTCCCTGAAATTAAGCCCTAATGCGTCTTTTGGAAAATAAGACCGGGCCTTATTTTCAGGGAAATATATACCAAATAAAGCAATGTATTATAAAAGTTTCAGATTGTAAGGCCATCTCAGGTTAATTAACATTTCAATGTTAAAAAACATCAATTTCCTGTTATTTTACTGAGCATTTAGTAATGTAAGCCAATCTTCTGCATCTCTGATAATACACTAAAATTCTAAATTTAATAAAATCACTAGTATAAAATGTTAATTTAAATACCTTTCCATACACGATTATTCAGTTTTATTTGAAAATTTTCATCCAATATATAATTGTTTCCTCTGAACAGTAACCACTTCATATATATTTGCCAAGTTACAACATTAAACATATGAAAGGTTTTTTTTAAATCTTTAATGTTGAAGCTTGCTAAAAAAGATCTTCAAAAGAGCATTGATCTTTGTCTTACCAATGAATTTGTATAGACATTGGACTGCCTTCAGTGAATTGTGTTTACAAGCCCAATAGGTTAATATTTTTTTTAAAAAAAATTAAACAGAGCAACATTTGTTTAATTCAGTTAATTTTGAATTAATCAAAACACAATAACAAGCAATTCAAAAACTAGTTTTATGTATGTATGTATGTATGTATGTATGTATGTATGTATATATGTATGTATGTGATGAATGACCTGGTAAAGTCATACTCTCAAAACTATGAGATATCAAAACTGTTTGCATTTTTTCTGTCAATAACAAAAAAGAAACTGCACATTTTAGGCATTTGGGAAAATTTGCTAATTGCAAGAAACCTAACCACGACTGCACATTCAGTTACATAACTTGGATACTAAGAAAGAAGATAATTATTAATTTGATGCCTAATATGGTTATTTTATAAAAAAAAATACTATACATCCTTTCCCTGCAATATACTAGTACTTTGATTCTTTATGGTATTAATGAGAAACTATGTGAATCAGGATTCTTTGTGAATTTATATATTCACACATTTTTATTTACATACAGTAGGTTTGGTATTTGATTATTTTAAATGGTTCATAAATCTCCTTTTCAGAGTTCAAGGCAACTTAAGTAAAAACAAAATGAAAGATAAAACTGAAAATATTGCCATAATTAAAAGGATTATGCAACAATTATTTAAGCACATAATTTGTATTGCAAATGGTAGATTAAACCATAAAACATTACTGTGTAAAGCATTCCATTTGAATTAATTTTACTATTGTAAAATGCATATAATATGTGTGTGTGAGAGAGAGAGTGTGTGTGTATGTGTTCTGGAGGCTACCTGAACTAGTCTCTGCAGTTTTCTTGCCAAAATTTCAAAAACAGTTTTCCATTGGTTCTTCCTAGGGCTGAGAGAGAGAGAGTCCAAAGTCACCCAGATGATTTAATCTGGTGTAGTTACTAAAGGCACCAACTAGAAACTGGAAGAAATATTGACCATGCTATCAAAGAAAGCACCAAATTAAATAATTGGAAATCCTTGATTATTTTACTCTATATTACTCAGAATATCAGATGGTGGCGCAGCAGTTAGAGTGCAGTACTGCAGGCCACTTTAGCTGACTGTGTTCAGCAGGTCAGCGGTTCAAATCTCACTGGCTCAAGGTTGACTCAGCCTTCCATCCTTCCGGGGTAGATAAAATGAGGACCCAGATTGTTGGGGGCAATGTAAATATATATATACATTGCTTACTGGTGTACACCACTTAGAGAGTGCTTGTACTTAAAGCGGTATATAAGTCTCATAAATAAATAAATTCACAATATTAATATTCCATTTAATTTTTCAGCTCCTACTGAAAGACCTAGAAATGTGAAAATAAAAGTTCTATCATCCACAGAAGTATCTGTTTCCTGGGAACACATTTTTAATCCAGCTGTTACTGGCTATGAGGTGAGCTTAAAAATACATTTTCTTTTACTAATCATACCACAAGATACAAAAGAACTGAACATGGTGTTGTACTCATATTTATTTATTTTTTAAAAAACTTTTTATTAATTTTCCGATGTTACAATTATTTCTTTGAAAAGCAATGTGGTGTTTGAGTTACAATAATTCCATTACATACAAGTATTATCAATACAAATCTCCAACTGTTACAGCCAATATTTCCTCTCTTTTTCCCCTTAATACATACTGTCTCTTGTTTAAATTAGTATACTTCTTATTCTATCCATCAGCTACTTAATAGCTTTCTTACATTTATCAATACTTTTATATGTCTTATTTATTTTAGCATTCCATCTTTTGGACCATCAATAACCTTATGAATTTTCCAAGCTTTAATTTTGTGTTGATATTTAAATTAAACATTTAATATTTTATCATTTTCAAATTTTTTAAATGACCCCAATTCCCTTTGTCACAATTCCCCCCAACATCTAGTGTTCCGGATACATATCTTATCTATCTCACTTCTATATCAACAGATTAGTAATACAATATAATATTTTTATTTTCATTATAATTTCCAAATATTATAGATTCCATAATCAAAATTTCTCCCATTTCAGCATTCTTCTTTAAGTCCACTTTCTCATATTTAAACTTATAATTTTTATTCTTATCACTACATCAAAACATGTTAATTACATTACATCACTCTTAACATATATATATCTTAATCACCTTTATCTAACCTTTATAAACAACTCAATATTTCAATTTAACTGTTGATATTTATGCATCTAGGTTTTAATTAGCCAACATTTTTCTTTATCTTCTCATCATAATATCTCATATTCAAAATACGGGTCTTGTCTACTTAAGTATATTCTATTTTAAATCTCCTAAATATGCCCACACTCCCTTCTTCTTCAGTCTTATTTTGGCTTTTTTTTCTTTGCCAAATCATCTTCCATGTTCTTGCTTCAGAGTCCTCAAAGATTTCTTGTATTATTGTATATATTATGTCATATTGAGATGACCATCCAGTCACCATTTCTGGAAGGCTGAGGGGTCTGGCAGGACTAACAGATCGTCTCTTTATTTTCTCCTCTTGACATAGTTGTCCTGAACTGTTTATCTTTTCTTCCATCTGTTTCTCTCCTTGATCTTCAAATTCCTTCTGATTTATATAGCACGTTTTTTCCTCTATCCATGTTGTCAGATTTTTTTTCTGAATTTTCTATTGTCTGTACTTGTTGGGCACTTAGGTCTTCTGTCATAATATTTAATTGTTCAATTTTTTCTATTGTATTCTGTATAGATAGGTTTTTAGTTATAATCAAAATTTGAGTTTGCATATCTAAGACGCTTTCTGGTTTTTTCCCGAAAGCTCTTATTTCATCGCCAGCTTTAAGAAGAGTTTGGTAAGTTTGATAAGTTATTTTCAAAATAGCAAAAATTTGTTTTCGCATTTCTTCTGTTCCTGGTCTTCCATAGTGATAAGTTGAATTGAAAACTCTCACAGCTGGTGTTCAAGGTTACTACATGAATCTTATCTTGTTTTCTAAACTGTCAGCCAAGTCTCTTTTCTTTAAGAATAATAAATTGCAATTTCAGGTTTAGCCACAAGATGTCACCCCACTGTTTAAGGAATTCCTTTAAATCTCAAAGTTATTGTAATCATTTCGGGGTTTTTTTCTTCTATTTTAAGAGGAAAAACCCAGACTTTCGAATGAAAATAAAAAGTAAAAAGTAGATAATCAAAAATCTTTTAATCCACAAGCTTAAGGAAATAAAGTTCCAATTGAGATCCAGTTATTTTTTCAACATTTTCAAAAAAAAAAAAAAAAGCTCCCCTATGTATTCAATCGCCACTGTTTCTGGAGGGAGGGCTAAAATCCCCCTTCCCTCTCCACTGGGGGAAAGTACTTTAGCAGATTGAATAGGTACAAAAGCAATTAGGATGTAAGAGAGGCAGATCTCACCCAGTCCTTTCCACGCTGCTTTGAAGTTGCCAGATAGTGAGTGTGACTTCGGCTGTCTGCAGCCTAGAGACGAGCCATATTTCTATGGCCGGTCCTTTCGTCCACCGGTTTGGATGGATCGACAGCTCTAATGGGAGAGTTGCTGCTCTCCTGCAATCCAGCGATAGCCCCTCCTTGCTGGTCGCCTCTTCGGGGTGACTTTTGGCCCTTTTCAGATCCTCCCAGCGATGCAAAACTGAATGGGGAGAAAGTCTCCCAGCCATCCATGGTGGCCGCCTGGCAAACCAGAAGTCCCTCATATTTATTTTTATAGTCAAGAAGTGTATCTGAGTTTGAAAGAGATTATAAATACAAGAAATAAATATAAATAAATTATCAAACAATTACCAGAACATGCAATAATGGTAAGTACCAGTAGTTCTTGACTTATAAACAGAATTAAGCCAAAATTTCTGTTGCTGAGACATTTGTTAATTGTTAAGAGAGTTTTGCCCCATTTTATGATCTTTCTTGCCACCATTGTTAAATCAGTCATTCTAGTTGTTGTAAGTTAGTAACATAGTTGTTAAGTGAATCTGGTTTCCCCATTGACTTTGCTTGTCAAAAAGTTACAAAAGGTGATCACATGACCCCAGGACACTGCAACCATCATAAATATGAGTTAGTTGTCAAGCGACTGAATTTTGATCATGTGGCGATGGGAAATTCTGGAATGATCGTAAACATAAAAAACAGTCATAAGTCCCTTCTATTCAGGACATAGCATATAAGTGTTGCTTGAGCATGGTCCACAGTATTATCTGAGACATTACACATCCTCTTCACGACCTGTTTTCCTTATTACTTTCTGGGAGGAGGCTTCATGGTATCCAAAGCAGAACATCCAGATTCAGTCACGGTTTTGTTCGATACAGTATCAACCTTGTGAACTCTCAAGTTTCCTGTTTCCACTATGTATTCAAGATGGACAGTTATTTATATTTATATATGTGTAGGTCTTTGGTTATTCGGGTTTTCTCCCACGTAAAATTGGAAGTGTCTTGGCGACGTTTCGGCGAAGTCTCATTCGTCATCTTCAGGCTGGTGCTTTTGGCTTCGTGCTTCTAGGAGCAATGTGTGATTGTAGCTGTTTCCTCCTTTTAACTGCCAGTGGGGGTATGAACTGATTGGATGAGAGCTTGGCTGTGTTCTGATTGGATGGAGGTGTGTTCTGATTGGTTAGGAGCTTGGCTGTGCTCTGATTGGATGGGGGGTTGGCTGTGCTCTGATTGGATGGGGGAGTGTTCTGTTTGGGTGGGGGCTTTGTTGTGCTCAGGTTAGTCTGAGTTGCAGGGGGTTTAAAATGGTGAACTGCATTGCTATTTTTTGGCTTTGCGTTCGTGGTCGTGCCTCATCTTCATGGTGGGTGTCAGTTTGCTTCATGTATGGATTGGAGGGGTTTAAAGTGGCTAATGATGCAGCTGTGGTCTGGCTTCTGGTTTGTGGTCGTGCCTCATCATCGGTGTGGCTTTGGATTTGCTTTTTGCATGGAGGTGTGGTGGTGACATCCTGTGTGGTTTTTGTGAGTGTGGGTCTGGTGTCATTTTTTATGTTAGGGAATCGTTTGTCAATAAGGGTGGGTTTACAAATGGCTGGTAGGCGGGAGGTATCATCTCGTTTGTTCATGCTGTGGGGGCGTTTTTCTATCTCGATGGCTTCTCTGATTATTCTGTTATTAAAATGTTCAGTTTTGGCGATAGTTCTGGTCTTTTTAAAATCAATTTCATGTCCTGTGATTTTAAGGTATTGGACCAGGGAAGAAGTTGGTTCCTCTTTTTTGACTGAGTTCTTATGTTCTTCAATGCGTGCACTTATTCTTCTGTTGGTTTGTCCGATGTATGTGGTGGGACAAGTGGTGCATGGGATTTTGTATACTCCTTGATTTTCTAATTCAATTTTATCTTTGGGGTTTCTTAGGATGGTGGATATTTTTCTGTTTGGGCAGAATGCTGTCTTAATGTTGTGTTTGTGGAGGATCTTACTGATTCTGTATGTGGTGCCTTTTATGTAAGGGAGGAGGGCTTTGCCGTTTTCTTGTTCTCTGTCTTGAGTTTTAGTGGGGGTTTCTTTTTGGATTAGTTTGGTAATCTTATTTCGTTGGAATCCATTGGATGTAAGTACATTAGTGAGAGTGTGTAGTTCGGTTTTTAGGTGTTGTTCATCAGCTAAGCGTTTTGTTCTAGAGATGAGTGTCTTGGCTACGGAGTTGATCTGTGCTGGGTGGTGGCGTGAGAGAGCATGCAGATAGCGGTTTGTGTGTGTTTTCTTCTGGTAGATGGTGTGTCCTAGGCAGCCATTGGATTTCTTGTAGACTAAGACATCTAGGAAGGGAAGTTGGTTATTAGCTTCTGTTTCCATGGTGAACTGTATTTTGGGGTGTAGGCTGTTGAGGTGTATGAGGAAGTTGTCCAGTTTTTCTTTCCCATGTGGCCAGATTATGAAGGTGTCGTCTACGTATCTGAGCCAGAGTTTGGGTTTGTGTTCAGATTTTTCTAGAGCTTGGGTTTCAAAGTGTTCCATGTAGAGGTTTGCAATGACATGTGAAAGGGGTGATTCCATGGGTGCTCCTTCTATTTGTTTGTATTTTTGTCCGTTATAGATGAAGTATGTGTTGGATAGACAATGGTTGCTCAGATCTAGGATGTGTTTTGGGGGTTATATTTGTTCTGGATAACTGTCAAGGCTTCTTTGATTGGCACTTGGGTGAACAGGAATATGACATCGAAGCTCACGAGTAGGTCGCTGGGCTGTAAGTTTTGTTCCTTTATGATCTCTAAGCAATGGAAAGAATTTTTTACGTGTGAAGTGATGGATTCTGCATAGGGCTGTAGTTGTTTGGCGAGAAATTTGGATAGGTTTTGTAGAGGTGAGCCTATGGAGCTGACTATGGGTCTAAGTGGGGTTCCTTTTTTGTGTATCTTGGGGAGACCATAGAGCCTAGGGCATCTGGATGATTTCTCTCTGGGAATGATTCTTTGC